GAGACAGGCACACCCCCCTTGTTTCTCACTCGGGCACTTATCACTTTTCTTTAAGTAAAACCGATGTTGCCGTTGTGACCCTAATCTGTCCGGAAGAAATAAAAAGTGAAGGCATAGAAAAGCTAGATATTAAGAGATAAGTAGTAGGAAACATAGTAGATAGAAAAATTATGGGAAGTGAAAGGTTACTGGGCTATCGTTGGGCGCCATTGTTATGTCGCTGACTGTTGGGGTAAGGTTGGTTGGCATACAGGCATGCTCGCTAGCCCAGGCTCAGCTCGTCGGCGGGGGGGTCATCTCCAACCATCTTACCTGCAGCTGACACTAACAAACAATAGTAATCATGCCTGGTTGTAGTCAGAATACTAAATCAAACAATAGAGGGGGAGCTGAAGAAGATAGAAATAGGCCCGTCCTGGTCAGGTGGAGTCACCCACCCCTTCTACAATTTTTTTTCTGTAGCCTTGGACCCTGCCGTGACTCCAACGATTGGCAGAGTCCCCTAAGCCTGACCGGTTTCCGTCTGTCTAGTGTCCAGTCATGTCCCTGTCATCCCAGACATTGCGTCGCGCCACCCATTTCCCCTCTTGTTGCACCAGTGCAACACCCACACCAAACAACTACAAAATTAGCAAATCATATTATTTTTTTTTTCTATCACGGATTTACATGCTCTTTATTACAAAAAAAAACTTACAAATCTATTACCTAACTACAAATCCAAGTCCTGATACAGTTCCTAATTCCACTAAATTTGAGTTCAATATCTATAGTAAAAAATCTATACCAACTTAACTTATTACTATATTTAAAGGTTCACTCTCCTATGTACATACGTATATTCCAATTCAACAATTAACAAAATTCAGTTCCTTCATGTAACTCATTATACTGATAATAATAAAAAAATTCAACTTCAACAAAAAAACTCCGAATAACCTAATTCATATACTATATGTGTACATATGTGTTTAGGGTGTAATCCTCAAATGTGATAATAAAAAAAAAAACGAAGCAAAAAAAAAAATAATGATAACAATAAATTAAAATGGTAACACAAGATGAAAATAAGTGTGGTGCGACATATGTCCCATCTCAAAAATACTCAATTTAGTTTAGCGAGTTTCTAGTGTTTCGCCCGTCGCTGTATATAATCCCCAAAAATCTTCTGCTCTTATCTTCTCTACAACTTGTATTCTTGTATGAATACAATTAGTGAATGTATATAAGTGACTAGGTATGTTCATGTGTATGTATATTTCTATTTGTAACTTTGTACATAAGCTTACGTTCTAGCACTTACCAATCTCACGTGTGATGTAGGCGCCTGCATACAGGAGATATGGTTCAGCTGAAAGAGAATAAAAGGCAAAAGACTTCCAATACCTAGCGAGAGTAATTGAGTGGGAATATTTTTGGGGTTCACTACGCATGGACTAGGAATGGTCAATTAGACATTAATACTCGCCCGTGATGATCGCCACGTTTCTGGCTGCCTACCAGACTATTTTTAAATTACAGACAAAAAAACTTAATATACATGTCTATCTTCAAGTATGATCGGCCTAACTAATTACTAATAAAACAAAATGCATATAAAAGCTCTATAAAGAAACTATATATGTATAACTATGTAATTGTGTAATTGTGCGCAAAGAAAATTACCAACAAAAACTACTCGTCTCGGAAAATGGTGCTCATATGCACCAACTAATTTTTAATTCTGGGAACTAACGCGACTATTTTGACTTCAAATTAGAGCATGCAGCTTGTGGATAAATTAGTGAGTAAGTAAAAATTCCTGTGGCGAGAAATTAGTGAAAAAAAGGAAATTACATTCATATGTATGTAAGCTAACCAAAAGTTAGGTTAAGTTCGGGCCATCAAAACTATTCCCAACTTAGTCCAAAAAAAAAAACAACAACAAGGCAAATACTCGGAGGATGGTGGTGGTCGGCGTGGTGAGTCACTCCGTTTTCTGGAATCTGCTCGATCCGCAGAGAGCCGTGACATGAGCGCGTGGAAGTGCTGGCTCAAGCGTTTCCCGTGCGAAGTCCGGTACTCTATCAGCGGATGTATGTGCGTATGTATATATGTATGTATGTTGTTCTCCCTCTCCTTTCTGTTTCCACGGTGTGGAACCTAACTTTTAATCCTCCTCTATATACTTGCGGTCGTTAACTTCTGCAAAGGTGATCAGCTGTGTCTTTATCGCAATTGTACTGCTTGGCCGTAAAATGACCTAAGTCGGCAATTATAGGTTCTGGGCCCCTTGGGTCCTCCTGCCTGATGACAATCTCAAATAGCAGGATTCGAAGCGGATTCTGGTTAGAATCCCGCAGATGACTCCGTTTAAGCGGGAATAAAAAAAAAACGTTTAAAATAGACAACTTCGCTAGCACTTCTCTTAGACACACCCGGATGCTTTAATGTCGGCTTTCAATCTGATTTTTTGTTACAGCTACTTTGGCGATCGTGCCCCGATGCATTTGCATGCAGAAATTTCCTCCAACTTTCACTCATCCTTACAAAGACAGCCATACATTTCTTTACGACACATTGTTACATGTACATTCACACACACAACCACAACAATGAGTTCGCCTTTTCACACATGTTGCGCAACATGTTTAGCAACCCGGTTGCGGAACAAACGAAACGTTGGCGTGATAGATTTGCCACCGATGTTGATGCAACGTGAGAGGCTGCCGTTACACCTTGCAGTACGTATTAAATAGTTTTGGATCGAAGTACTCTTCGTCGAAGAAGTCGCTATTGAGCCAAGTTTCAACGAATATAAAGACATCATAATCCATTCGAGATGATGCTAAGTAAATTTCCTTAGATTTCGTGTGCATACCACCCATGTTTTGGAAATAGATTTTCAAAGAAGAGTCACAGCAACTAGTTTCAGAATATATCGTGCTAGCTTTCCTTGTCTGACTTAGATTCTTTCCGAAACAACCGAAAAGGTCGAACATTTATATTAGACGGCCAGACATTAGGGTTAAGAATCTTGTCGTAGTAAGCTGTTGAGACACCGAGCTTGAAATTAACGCTTTCAAGAGAATCAACAGAGACACCTTCCTTTATAAGTTTATAACAGGCAAGACACTTGCTGTCGATACCAGCATATTTTTAAACATATGAGATTATATTTTGTTCAGAGACGGCGTTCTTAAAAGAGGAAAAATGTACCCACTATAGAGACAGATTTAAATTCTGATTTTGAAACAAACAGCCATAATATTCTAGGACAAGAAATGAGAAATAACTTGATGAATTCTTTCATACAATCAAATCTCTTTATTGATATAAAAAAGCAACAAAAATAGTTCACATTTAACTAAACAAAAAATATGTATTCATATGAATAAAAAAGCACTATTCCATTTGTACCTACTATAAAAAGCATCTGAAGTATTTAAAATACTATAAAATAAATTCAAGTTCAGTACTTCTCGTTCCTTACGTTACTTGGTGCGATTTATAATCCGCCCATACAATGCTCTTAAATATAGAATCATTATAATTGAGATCTCTTTCTTACATATTATTTAATTGGTATTCTATAAGTTGAATTTTCTTTCTTTTAAGTTCCGCCTCTAGATTCATATTTTCTTTTAATAGTTCAAATTTTTCTTTTTTTAAATCGTGATTTTTTCAGCATATTTGCTCATTTTGTATGTATTTTTTTCTATTCTTTTTAAATTTTGTGCTATATCTGAGTTATTTGCGACTTTAGCATGTCCACTTTAATTTCTTCAGTACTTTTTTTGATTTTTTTTTTTTAACAGTCACCGATATATTTGGCGAAGAACTGCATGAAGGCTCTACGTTTTGTTCGTCTTCGTCCATTTCTACAATGCCAAACACTTTGCCGGGTGGATTTACGCTTACGTATGTATGTAAAGTATCTGCCACCCCTTGCTCGAGTGCAGATAACTTTTGCTCCTCTGATGGGCCTCCACCAGTCGTTCTTATGTTTCGATTATTTGCACTCAATTTCTTCTTTGTTTTGGCCTTGTAGTTAATACATATCTACACAAATGTATACATCCATGAAAATGCTTATTGCAGTATGTTTATTGTAAAAATTACCCGCTGTCATTCTTTTCCAGATCTATTTGGAGGGCCGAAACTATTGATCTCAGCAGCAAAAGCGTCCCATTGTTCATCGTTTTGGATTTTACTTTGTTCAAATGTGCGAGTTCCTCTTGCAATTCCTGGGTTGGATAGCATTAAATGCACCAAACGCTCAAATTGCTTGCTGTTCGTAATTTTCACTGGCCTGGAGAAATATCAAACTGTTAATTATAAATCAATATAAATAGAATTTGCATATAATTAAAATTTTTCTGCCATAATCAGAAACTGTTTCAGCTTTTCCTTCCAAAATGCGCAAAATATAACAATGGCGTCTGATGGTGATCAGTTGTTTCAATTTAACGTTTGTGTATACTATAAAAAGAGTTGGTAGCCATACATAATACACAAAATTGCGCTACCAGACTCAGTAGCCTTGTCAGTAGCCGTCAAGCGAGTTGCCATACGTAATGCGAATTTCAGTCTACGGTTGCCCATCGGCTATCAGTCGCCATACATACTAGGGCCATAAGTTTACAACGGGAAAAATAAGATGGCATCGGGTCATCAAAGTTAAGGGAACTTAACGCAAAACGAACAAATTTTCTCTGCACTCTTTCGAGTCTGGCGGCATGACAGCCGTAAATGGGGTTCCATATAATAGAAGCGTACTCCAGTTTTGATTGTACTAAAGAGATAAATAAAGCTTTCCTGGTGTATGGATCCTTAAAGTCTTTCGCATATCTACTGTAGGCTTTTGGAAGCAGTAAGAGATATGATTGACAAACGAAAAATTTGTGTCAAAGACTACGCCTAAGTCAACAAACTCTTTCACAGAGGCCAAGCGAATGCTAGAAATATTGTAATTAGAAAAAATAATGTTTGAAGATTTTGAGAAGGACATATGAAAACATTTATTTACATTTAAGTGAAGCTTGTTCGTATGACACCAACTGACCAGGGTACTCAGGTCGTACTGCAGAGAAGAAACATCCGACGAGTCATAACTCTACGAAAGAGTTTGAGGTCATCTGCATAGAGTAAAAACCTGGAAAATTTGAAACAGGAGCCGATGTCATTTATAAAAAGGACGAACAAAAGTGGTCCGAGGATACTGCCTTGGGGAACACCTGAAGTTGCCACAAAATAGTGCAATTTACAGTTTTCGACTTCAACAAACAAGGTTCTATTAGACAGATAAGATTTTAACCATTGTAGGAAGGCAGAATGAAAGCCGATAGACTCAAGTTTATGTATTAATATTGCGTGAGACACTTTATCAAAGGCCTGCGAGAAAGATGCCAAGTTAGTAACAGTAGAACGCCCGACAACAAACCCGTGTTGGTCCGGCTCAACAATGCTCTTGGTAACGAAAGATAATTTCTCCTTTATAATTTTTTCGAATAGCTAAGAACAAACTGTGAGTTTAGCAATAGGCCTATAATTAGCGATGTTATTTTTATTGCCAGATTTGAATACTGGAGTAATTGATGTAATCTTCCATCTATCAATGAATGTGCCAGAAAACAGAGACAAATTAAATATCAAGGCGAATTTATATAAGGTGGTGTTACTAGATCAGCTGATTTTGTGTATGTGTTTCGCCTCACGGCTTCTAATGTCAAATTGAAAAATTTTGTTTGAATTTCCACACACACACTTACAAATTTTGACAGTTTGTGCCGCCAAAGCAAAAACAAAATACATGTAAATTTTTGTTTTTGTTCTCCTGCTATCACCTTATATTAATTCGCCTTGTTAAATATATGACATAAAGGAACACATAATGATGAACTGCAATGCGACGTAACATAGGCACAGAGCCAATCACTGTGGCATTTTAGCGAAGGTTTAAGCGTGGACATAGAAGTGCTAACATCCAAATCTATGATTGTGAGGGAACCAAAGTCAATGTGTTCTGATAATTTCGAGCGAGCGTGAGAGTTATTCGGGTTATCAGCCTCACTATCAAAGTTTGATTTGAAGAACTCAGCAAAGAATTCAACTGTGTCAGGCAAAGATTGAGAGAATTTACCATTAAGGCACATACAAGTCGGTATGTTGGAAGACCCACGCTTAGAGCGAATAAAATTCCAAAAACCCTTGGGATTTACTTTTAGCTCAGATCCAGTTTACTAATATAACGATTATAAAGAAACTTATCCAGCACATTAAATTGATTCACATAATTCATATACTGATCCCTGAGAACAGCATTCACAGTGTTGGCCTTATACAGTTTATGATATTTATTACTTATTTATTATTATTCTTAAAATTTTTTAGAGTAGTGTTAATTTATGGAGTCTAGGAGGAAGAGGAGGTACTTTAATGGAAAATACCTCTGTCAACTTAAACAAGAAAGAATATTAGCCCAGTTAATATCGCTAAGTGTATTATTCAAATCACACAAGTTGGTAATCCGAAAATTAAAAGCGGAAGTGCACGAATTGCTCGGAATAGAGATTACATCAAACAATTTTAAAGAAATAACAAGCGGAACGTAATGTTTGTCTGTCTTGTACAGAGGTAGATTAGTCTCAGAAAGGTTAAATATTAAATTTTCGTCTACAAATACTAGATCGAGCATCTTAGATAGCGTATTATATAAATAATTAATTTGACAAAGGTAACAGCTTAAGAGACTATCAATAAAATTAATTTCGTTAGATAGTTAGATGACGTTAGTAGGTGTCAAAATACCATTATTCTGTAAATCTATCCAGATAATATCAGGCAGGTTAAAATCACCAATAATACAAAAGTGGGAATCCATATTAGTATCGCAGAGATCAACTATATTTTCACTATGAGAATTATATAAGCTATCAGAGCTACTGGGTGGTATATATATTACGCAAATATATGTAGTGCC